AATGATCAGCAGTCTATGAGACACCAACCCTGAGGTGGACTTCCTCCCACAGAAGGACAGATCAGTTGGCAACACTGCTGCACCACTGCACAACTTGACCAATTGAGATGTTAGAAAGTCATCTTCAAAAAACATTAGCTCTATACTCTCTAGCTTCACTGTCTCTGACTGTCTCAAGCCTTCTCTAACAAGAAGGCTTCTTGTTTTCTTGTTAGTTGTTAGGGTTTGGTTTTGTCATTTTCCCAAGCCGCTTCTGGGATTTCAAGCAGCAAATCATCATGCCCAGTTATTTATAGTTACGGAAGTAGAAGATTGTTTCAAAGTGGAACACAACTTCAGATGGAGGCAATCGAGAAGTCATTGAACTTAGCAGCTGTGCAGCTGCGTCACCAAACCCCTCATGCTGCCCAATTATTTTCCTTGGCGACTCCTTCCTCTAAGAACTTGTTTTTTCCTGACTATGCCTCAGTTGGCTGTTTGTGAAGACCTGGCTAGTGTTTGTTGAAGAAAGAAAGAGTGAGTAGTTGCTTCTGCTGTTCTCCAGAGATCTTTATAGGGAAAATGCTGTTTAATATTGACATATTCTCACAGACTCCAGGGGAACCTTTTGACAGGAACAGAGGGTAAGAGGAAGGGAGGATGGGGGGAGAGTGGCTCTGTCTGACCTTTCTCCTCAGAGGATAAAATCAAAAGAGAAAAAATAAATATATTTTTCCTCTTTTTTTTGTTTGTGACTATTGCAGCCTGACTGCTGTATCCATGCTTCGTGCTCCCCAAACATTAGTTCACTGTTAGTGGATATACTGTTGAGTGTTTTTTGGTAGAAAAATGCAATATAAAATGGCCTCACATATTTGCCAGAAGACAGAGAATTGGACCAGCCAGCAAGGTCTTTCAAGCAAGCCTGCCTTAACTGCTGCTGGTTTTTTCTGCCTCTGTTTACAGTCCATGGCATGACCTAGAAAGTTCTTCTACAGCAATGCCCCATCAAGCTGTGTCTGCTGACACAAGCACTGGGAAGGTCTGGATAAAAGACCAAACCAGCTCTTTGCACAACACCAAAATTGCAAAAATAATCTGCTACTGTGGGAAGAGGGATGGGAACAAACACAGACCTGGATGCTTTCCCCAGGCACATTCAGTTAAATGAAGATTACAGAAACCCAAGTAAATAAGGGGAATAAAACAAAATAAACATGCTACACTCCCTTTCCGTTCCCTTTTTAAGTCTTCCCCCTACTTCAAAGCAATCCTCAGACTTTAGTCCTGTGTGTGGGTACAGAAAGCATGCCCTTGCTATCCATACACACCCCCTCTGGGGTAAGCTCCCAACCTTACATGTCTTTGAACAGCAGTTCCTGGTTGGTGGTGCCTAAACAGAGGCGACATCACCTTCTATATCCTGCAGTGTCTTGTGGTTAAATAAACATGTCATCAAGTCACTGCCCTAGTATTATATGGACTTGAAATGCTCAGTGCAGCACCCAAGACTTCAGAGCTTGGGAAGAAAGAAAAAAAAAAATTCCTCTTTCTTCCGGATTTCTGCAAAACCAACAAAGCCTCAAGCAAGAAACAAGCAGTCAAAACAAAACTAAAAGAGTGTGAGACTGCTGTCTGGGATATATGGTGGTACAGAATAGCTGGTGCCCAACCAGTGGAGAAGAGCAAACAGAGCAGCCACCACAGAGGGCACGATGCAGAATTGCGAAACAGCCCCTGTGGAAGGAGCCGTGCAGAAGAGCTTTGTGCAGACCAGCTGGGGCAAAGGCACTAGAAAGAGATATGTAGAAAGGAAGGACCTGCTTGGTGTGTGGTTGTGCAGAGTAGCTTGTACAGAACAGCGAGCAGAGAACAGGTTATACAGAAGAGCTGCTGTGCACTGATTTTCTGTGTGACCACTGAAGCTCCTCAATAACTCAGATTTCTGCCACCTTTTCAAGTCTTTTCAGATCCCCACAGGCCAAAATTCTTGTAGCTGCAACAGGTATGCCTGCTGGACCATGAGGATGCTCAGCGCAGCACAGTGGCCACAGCCTGCAAATCACCAACCAGCCTTTTACAGGCCCACAAGCCCCAAGAGTCATGCACCTCTCATGTCATGTCCTGTCCCTGGGCAGAGCTACAAGATCCCCTATAAGAGAAGGAAGTGTGTTTTCCTTGCTCGCAAATAGAAAGAGCCTCTCTTCCCAGTGACATCATATTTTTGAACTGATATCAGAGGTACAAGAATGATGGAGCAATTTTGTAGTGGGGGAGCAAATAGCCACAAATGATTAGACATAGGAGCTGCTACGTGGTGCTCAGGGAAGGTGATAAGGTGTGTGCCACCCTGAACTGCAGTCTAAAGGTTCCCTCTCCGTTACCTATTCCTCTTGCACAGACTCACTGGTATTTTGGGATGTTCCCTATCCCTCCCATCCCAAACTGCTCTGAGGGTACAGAGATAAACATAAGATGCCATCCCTGCAGAAAGGGGTCCTCGAATACCTGGTTCAGGCAGCTGTACAGTATATCTGGCCCATTGTCATGCCTGTCTAGTTGTATAAAAGAAACTAGCAGACATTTCTTCTGGTCTTTAAAAAAAAAATCTCCAAAGAATATATTTTTTTAATTGCTATTCTTTGCTGTTCCCTTTCTTGTTTTCCGCTTCACCCATACCTCGTCAACTTAACAGTCACCATTTCTTTTTATGAGTGGTGTTGTATTACGCATGGTGTTATCTCATTCCTATTTTCTACTGAACATTGAGCCTAAAAAGTTGTCTTTAACCTGCTCAGCCTCACAGCAGGCCCAGGTGGGCAGGACAGGCAAGAGGATGCTCCCCTACAGGGGTTTGCTTTCTGGCAGATCTGGGCAGCTCCCACTGCGTACCTTGCTGGGCTGCAGTGTAGACTCACCCTGAAATGCTCAAGTCTTTTGTATTGTTATTGCTGAGTTTTCTCTTTCCTTACTTTGCTGATTGGGCCTTGCAGAAATAATGAAGAGGCTTTAGAAATCTTTGTGGTAATAAAAGAGTGGTCAGACTACTGAATATCAAAAACATTCCTCTTGTTGACCCAACCTTGACTTGGAAAAGCCGCAGCTGACAGTTTCTTTGAGAGATCAAGATCACACTTTAGTTACTTCTTTTTTGCCTGAGAGACTCAGCCAGTAATTGCTTATAACAGAAAAATTCTCTGAGTGTTTTTAGACACTGACTTCCATTTTATTTTATCTTAGCCAAGAAACAAAGATAGCAAGGTTGTGTTATAGACTTAACATTAACTGCTGGCATCAATAGATGCTGACTCTGAAGACTGAGCAATTAACCTTTGTAGCTCTGGCTGATGTCAGGGGGATGAGTGGCAATTAATACAGTCTGCTTTTTTATCTCAGCAGTTAAGGGTCACACCACAGCTGAAATGACACAGATGCTCCTGCAGTCAAAGGAAGTGACAATGCTTTCTTTCTAGAAGAACCTCATCTGACCTTTATTCCCTCAGAGTGAAATCTGCTACAATGCAACAGCACTTGCAGACTCCAGGATGCGCAAGCTCCACAAGATTTTCAGAGAAAGCTTAGAAAAAAGGAACTGTTGGTAGAACACAACAGTTTTTGATGAGTAAGGAAATGGCCTTTCTCCCCTCCATACGATTAAAAGGCCAAGGCACTTGGCCAGAGCCAACAACTGTGTATTGTTTTAATTTTAATGCTGCTATGTCACTTTCAGACTGTATTCAGTATAATTGCAATAAGAGTTGTTATCCAATTCATTTCAAAATCATTACAATGTTATCTGGAAGCCAAAAACCTTCTCTTACGGTAAGAGAAGATAATCACTCTGTGGGTCTTCTAACAAAACAATTTGTTGTTAAAAAAAATCTGAAAATTAGTAACAAACTCATGGAAGTATCTTAACTTGTCTGATACTAATCAATAGACACAGGGAATCAAACACCCCTCACAAAATGTAAAATGGTAGTCCTAACACAGTACACATGTATGGATAGGCTTGACTTTAGCCATGAGAGCATCCTCCTGCATGCCACGGCTTGCAGAACATGTTCAGAACATGTTTTTGCTGTTTGCAAGCTTGGATGCTAAGGTTGTATTTTAATGCAAAGGATTTAATCCATCTGAATATGGAATATTCAACAGGTACATCTAAGCATTTTTTGTTGGAGGGGTCAAAACAGCTTCTTTTAGTGACAGCATGAGTGTTAAGCCATTATTAAAGACATGGGGGATAATGTGGTAGAAATCATTTTTGGAGGAATATACCCCATCCACCTTTCAACTGTATAGTTGTAGTCACAGCCGGCCAGCAAGGGACAGCTCTTTACAGCATGCCTGGCATCACACAAACCCAAAGGTGCCAAGGCTTGTCACAAACAAGTCAGCTGGTACAGCCAGAAAGTCTAGACATGATGGCAACCTAAGGGAAGGTTCTAGTTGTCCCAAAGATATACTCTGATGCAACAAGGAGTAAAACAAAGACACAAGAATCAAGTCTAGAAAGCACAGCTTGCTGCAGAAAATACTCCAGACAGAGATACTCCTCTGTCTCTTTGTGAACGGTAGCAGAAGTCACTAAGAAATAATCCAGTTCTGTGGCTTAGAGTACCTAGGAGATCGGGATTTAGCTCTTAGAAATGTCTGTCCCAGGTTTATTACATAAGAGTCTCACATGCTCTAGCTGTAAAACCGGGTTAACAGTGCTTCCTTGCTGCTTCTGGTCATGTACAGGCAGAATTGAGGACAACAGGATCCCACCTAGATACTCTCTAAATGACATCAAAGCACAATTCACAAATATGAAAAAAGCAGTGTAGATAAATGACTTGTGTGCAAAGCATTTCTAAATATAGTCTAAATCCGGGCAGAATAATTATACCATGGGGCTGCAAAGGATTTTCATAATATCAGGGCCCAATTTTCTGCAATAAAATTTTCTTTTGGGAGAGTCTATTCCAGTCTGACAGAAGAGGCAGAGAAGACATACTTATTTTAAAAAAGATTTACACCAACACATTATTTGTGTAAACTTTTAATCCTTACAGTAGAAACATACACAGTACAAGTCAAAAGTAGTATAACAATTTTACAGCAAAGCTTAACAGTAAAATGCAAAACTAATTTGTATCAAAATCTTTAAAAACTGTGCACTTTCTCAAACTTAACTTTGTTCAGCACATCGTTTTGATTTATATATAAGGCATTAATTCTATAAGAATCATTTACTATATTCCAAAATCGCATGACCTAGGTGTAACACTCTATAGCCTGACACCATTTTTGTTCCTTTCAATATTTACAGATTTAATCTACCTGCATTGACATGTAGCATAGAAGCACTAAGAACAAATACAAGCTTTGCCAATACTAGTTTCACATTGAAAAAGTTACATTAAAAAAAGCTCAATTGTGCATTGCAACAGCTTGGTTCTGCTGCAGCCATGACTGTATTTTAAGAATAATTTCCTCTTTCAGCATGCTTCCTCACTTCCAGTAGTATTTTGGTCTTTCAAAATGAAGAACTGAATCTGCTCTGAACCTGCAGGAACTGGAAGTGGACCCCATTTTTAACAGCCACCCAAAATTTGTTTTCCTCCTCCCTCTCCCCAGAACACAGTTCTTAAATTTCTTTTTAAAGTTATATCTTCTATAAACAGCATAATTGAATTCATTCTAGCTACTATGTACAGAAATGGCTCAGGCAATTAAGTTAGTCCACCTTGTCATTAGTCAATAGGAAGTATAATTACTGTAGCTGTAAAGGAGGTATCTAGTGTTCCAGAATAAGTGAGTTTAATTATGGTGAGAGCTTCTTCAATTCTATTTACATGACAACTTCAGGCTCAATGTTAAATAGCAAGTCATCATTTCCTCTTCGAACTTCAAGTAGTAGAGGTGATTCATTCATCACAGCCTCTTGCAGGTCACTGGAAGTCAACAAAGGACGCCCATTGACTTTAACAATGATATCTCCATCTTGGATCCCTCCTCTGCAAAGAAAAGAAGAAGGCAGTAAGTATGAATTCTATGCAGAGAAGAAGTACAAAGACTATTCACCACCTCTTTGTCTGACATGATAAATTTTTACTTGTCTTAGTTTTCATCGAAATGAAATTCTACCCTTCTGACTGGGAAAGAATAATCAGTAGTAGTCACAGAATCACAGAATGTTGGGGATTGGAAGGGACCTCAAAAGATCATCTAGTCCAATCCCGCTGCCGGAGCAGGAACTTAAACAAAATTACACAGAAAGGCGGCCAGGCGGGTCTTGAATGTCTCCAGAGAAGGAGACTCCACACCCTCCCTGGGCAGCCTGTTCCAGGGCTCTGTCACCCTCACCGTAAAGAAGTTTTTTCTCAAGTTTAAGCGGAACCTCCTGTGTTCCAGCTTACACCCATTGCTCCTTGTCCTATCGTTGGGCATCACTGAGAAGAGCCTGGCTCCATCCTCATGACATTCACCCTTAACATATTTGTAAACAGTAATTAGGTCTCCCCTCAGTATACGTTTCTCCAAGCTAAAGAGACCCAGCTCCCTCAGCCTTTCCTCATAAGGGAGATGCTCCACTCCCTTAATCATCTTCGTGGCTCTGCGCTGGACTCTCTCAAGCAGTTCCCTGTCCTTCTTGAACTGTGGGGCCCAGAACTGGACACAATATTCCAGATGCGGCCTCACCAGGGCAGAGTAGAGGGGGAGGAGAACCTCTCTCGACCTACTAACCACACCCCTTCTAATGCACCCCAGGATGCCATTGGCCTTCCTGGCCACAAGAGCACAAGGTCCCTAAATGCAAAATCAGGCTTGCATTATTTCACTAAGGATTTTTTTCTAAAACAGCAAAAAAACACCAACAGTAAAAGTAGTCTAGCCTTCTCTTTGTCTTCCACAAAACTACAGCAAAGGAGACATTGAAAAGACTTTTAGCCATGACTGACTCACTCCACTCCATTCATTGGCAAGACCATGCTTTTATCTCTTTAGTATGTATTGCAAGCATGAGAAATAAAACCACTGTCAAAATTTTAAGACAAAAAAGTGTACCAACTGAACTACAGATAAATTCTCTCTTGCTGTTCAAATGTAATCCAGAATAGCTGTTTTTATTGTCTTTGCATTTATTAATAATTCCTACAGTAATTTTTACAAGTGTCTTATTTTCCAACTGTTCTGTAAAACGACCTCTTCCTCTAAGATAAAGCATTGTGTCAGATAATAGCTCTGACAGTGTCTTATGTGAATGCTATCCTGTTTCCTCTTTAAACTCAATCCAAGTTTATATTTATTAATATTCAACATACTTTTCAAAAGCAAAATTTGGTTCATTGTATTTGGGGTGTTCTTATATTTGCACACTTAGTGTTTCATGATGTCATTTAAAAAGTTCTGACATCAAAATATTTCTCTTTTGTAATTGCGAGATTCTTAGCACAAATATTTAAACCTTTTTTTTTTTTTAACCTAAATGCACAATTTTTTGATTGTTTAAATGCAAATCAACACTGGTCTGAGGACGTACTTGAATATAAATAGAAATATTACCTACTAGTATCTATTTGGAGATTTATTTAGAGTGAAGAAAATAATGTGCTCTACATACCTATGAGAAGGTGAGTTTGGAACAACTTCGTGTACATAAATTCCACTTCTGACGTCAGGAAAATCAGCATTATTGTGTTTCAGTTCTTCCACCAAGCTAAAAGAACAAAATTATATAGCATTCGATTCCATTACAAAAGCAGTAGCATTCAAAAAATATTATTTATTTATTCTCAATTTTTTTGTGACCAAAAAGAATGACATAACAGTTAATTGTTTGCCCCTTGTTCTTGTCATGAGAATGTAGGGGATTTGAATTTGGATTAAAACAAGTAACAGATTTTAAGAGAGTCAAAACAACTTACCTGTGCAAAGCATACTATATTTAATGGTCTCGTACATCTCCTGCAAGAACCTGACTTTTGCTATTTGCAGCAGTAGCACAGAGGGCACTGTAGAAGAGCACAGGGACTGTAGCACTCTCTGTCCTAAATGCTGTACAGGCACAAAAGATATTCCTGCCCCAAATAATTAATGCTGGTGATGGGGCAGAAATTTGCTAACCATTTTGCTTCTTTCATTTTGCAATTTATTCTTAGTTTGTCTTTATTTAGAACAATATAGCTTTTGATAACTTCAGTTATCAGATAGATCAAAACTGTGAGTTTTCCAAAATTCAGCTTCCTCAAGTTTTACTGAGGAATTATCTGGGCATCCCTTTCTAAAGAAAGAAGACAGGTACCATTTGCAAAATAGAGACTCTAAAAAAACAACATCTCATTTCTGAGGAGGTGACATCATTTTTCTAAAGAAAGAAGACAGGTACCATTTGCAAAATAGAGACTCTAAAAAACATCTCATTTCTGAGGAGGTGACATCATTTCAGGTCTGTGCAGTGTGAGTTAAAACTCCTTTCTAGAAAGAAAGAGTTTTAAAGTAATGATGGATTACTCTGCTGTCTGCCATTAAAACCTGAGGTCCCTCAGATGGAAAGCAAGCCAAAATGGCTGCACATAGCTTCACTTCATTTGACTTTGTACTGAGGAAGCTAATGACTAAATGACTAAAGCAAACACATCAAGGGAAGCAGTCTTTTCCTGAAAATAGGCCTGGAGACATCTTAGCCTGCTTCATTAGACACCACAAAAGCAGGAAAATCTCACATCATGTTCACTTCACAATTATGCTGAGAAACATTCTGAATTTCTCTCCATCAGTGGTGGTTGAGTGATGTTAATGCCATTACATTGACTCATTCCAGCTGAGGATCTGACCCTTTGGGGAGGATTGCAAGAGTGTAACTTAATAAACAAATATGGCTTTACTATAACCCCAGCTGAAAATTGTCTTCTTCAATTTTGTAGTCTACTGCCACATTGGAAACGTGCCTACTGCTGGGAAAGAACACAAGCATAACAGACCTCATTTCTTACCCCAGAAGATATCTGACTAACAGCAAGACACAAAGCAATGTGAAAGAGAAAAAACAGCCAAGAACTGGAGGAGGGTGTCCATATTCTGACTTTGTCAACACGGAGGCATGAAGCTTTGTTCTGCACTTTAGTAAATATTTTCTTTCCAGTTAAAGGTTAGGCACCAAATCTCACATCGTATAACCTTCTGTCCCTCATGGTCACCTTAAAGCAGCAGCTTGTTTAAATGTCACCTAAAACCTAGTGTAGCTGCAGACATCCTTGTCATGAACCAAAACCAATATTCAGGCTCTTCCAAATTTCCCTGAGCTAACAACAGGGCATCCACCATTATCAGTATTTAGAGAATGATTGACAGTGATTTTCCAGGTCTCAAAACATGTATTTCACCAATATCATTAAAATGGTTTTAGACTTCATAGAAGCTAACACATACTTCTAGATTCTCTGGAGATTTGTAAAGAAACCTGAATGATAAAAGTTCTGAACCACTGTTGACCACACCTTGTATGCATGACCATACAGATTATCTTACCAAGATACTTACGCAGGTGTTATTGTCAGCATTCTGATGCCAATGAAACGTTTCTTCCCATCTGAAAATAATATAGAGGATATTTAAGAAATTTGGGCATATACTGACAAAAATAACTACTTTGATGATCTAAAATACCTGTCAATTAAAACAGGACGCTTCAGCTTTTAACAAAACTAAACAGAAATCATCTACACTGAGGTAATTTTTTATTTTGGTTAGTCTTGGTGTACAGAATGACAATCCCTCTCCCTGCCAGTGAGCGTAAGAGAGAAGCTCATTTACAGTCCAGAAGAGTTTTCCTTCAGGAAATTCAGGAAAATTTCTGTGATCTAGTATCACATGACTTCAGTAAATGGAAAACTTTCATTTGGAAATGGAAAACCATCATTTCATCTGAAACCAGTCAAGACAATTTAATCATATGGTGTTCTCATCGAAATGTAGAAATGGGATTTAAAGAAATTAAAATTTCCACCTTTCAGATAAAGGACAACTGAAAGACTCACACTGCTTCTAATGCAAATGGCTTGTTATTACTACCCCAAAAAATGAAAAGCAAGGTTTTTTTAAAAAACCATAGACCTTAGCCAGGACTCTACTGAATTTTAAATGGTGAAAATTCACTCCTTTGGGAACAGCACCACATTTCTGTAATTGGCTTTTAGTACTCATGATATGCTGTCTTATGAAAAAAAAAAAAAAAATGCAGTTTGATGACTTCCTGAAGTGAGTGCTTCAGTAGTTAGTTATATCCAGTGTGAAATGATACTTCCCCTTACTTGTTCCAGCATAACTACTTCACAATTTCTTTGAGCTTCTCCATGTTCTCATGTGAGGAAAAAGTTTGAAAAGGAGATGTATAGAGTCTCCTTGAACTCCCGCTCTTTCCAAGAAAAATAGTCCCAAGTAATGGAATTGGTCCTGAATCTTATGCGTGTCCAATATTTCCATTAGTATCAGTGAAAGTTTCAACTACTAAGCACCGGATTTACTACACTCTGAACAATCTTACATCTGTAACTGTCATCCCTGCTTTTCCCTGAAATGTTCTGGCTCTCCTGTATTTTAAAGTGAAACTAATGAGATCAAAATCAGCTATAGTAAGAGTGTCACAAAGAAGTCAAATTACTCAAAATTAAAACCTCCTAAGCTTTTGGCATGGCCACGAACAAGTGCTCTCATAGTGCTTCTCTAAGTCTACATGGTATAAATTTTCAGTTTTCACTTTTAAAAAATATCCAAACCTGAAAACCCTCCCTCATTAAAATAATCCCCCTGCCCCTGCAATGTCGACAGTTAAAAACTATTAGTTTTCATAAGACACATAGATGACAGACTCTCTGGTGACAATTTACTGTCAGCATTAAACAGTTTGCTGCTGGTCATTGCCTGTGTGATGCAGAAATACGCAGAAGCACAAAGCATTCTCTGGGGGCTGAGTTAGGAATGTTTACATGAAAGAAAAATGAAAATGAAAGAAGGGACAAAATAAATTGATCTGGAAGAAACAAAACAGCAAGGAGAGGATTAGGCAAGAATAAAAAACCACAACAGAAATACCACTGATCTAAAAGGGGTTT